AGCCGGGACATCTATCACGCGGTCCCGCGCGCCGGAGAGGCTCGCCAGGCGGGAAGGACGTCGTCCGGTGTGCACAGAGTTCAGTGCGTGCACTGTCGGGCGTGCATCAGTGTGCACAGTGCACTATGAGTGTGCAGAGTGCACCGCGAAGCGCACCCACAATTGTGGCTAAGAAAACTGGGTGTAATCAGGGGTTCTTACACAAAGCTGGACACTATGCGGCACTTACAACGGCTAAGGAAGATAACACTTTGCCCGGAAGGCGGCAAGACCCGCGTAAGGGCAACAGCAGCACTCCAACAGCTTGGCCGTTTTCAACTCGCAAATCAGTCGCTTTGGGAAACTGGCGAGGCGTATGAGCTTCACTCTGGTCACAAGCATCTTTCTTTATCCGTTGCGTCGTGCAACAAATTTAAATAACGCCACATCAACCTGCTTGGTGCTTACTGCTACACAATGATGGAACATACGGCGACAGCCTTCGTCATTTCGTTTCCGCCAATACGTGTCTTCCCACCATTCTACACCGTGCCAATTCTTGACACTGCGTTTGCCTATCTACACGGCAGCGTTTCGCCTTTTGTCCCACGCCACACATCCGCGTACCATCCCTGTCTGGTTCCCAGCCGCGGCAGCCGGCGACACCGCCTCGAGGGCAGCTATAAAACTCTCCCCATCCCCTAGCAGACGGTGGCCCACTCCGACCGTCCGGGCCGATACAGGTCACAGTAGCCATTGGCACAGATCGAGACAGTGCCGACTGCCGAGCCACACAGCGGGACCGTAATAGGCGATCACAGATAAAGACAGAGCAGAGCCGGGTGCAGTAGTCCCGTAACAGCCAGACCGTCACCTGTCGTACAGATCACAGGAGCCATTACTGCCAGCTGTGACCCGACCGAACACTGAGGTCATGGCTCGCATTCGTTCGACACAGCAGGCGGCAGCGGCGGAGCAGCGGGCGGACGGCAGGGCGGCAGTTCGGGGCGGATCCGCCACGGGTGGGGGCGGGGGCGGTGGTGATCGAGCGGCTGTAGCTCACGTCTTCCGCTAAACATTATGGCCGGGTCTCCACCCACCCGTAAGGCGGGTGTGGTAGCACCTCCGTCTGAGAGTGGCCATCCCGGCGCGTTACAGACGTCACATTTGTCGCGGACGACACCAGCAGCCAGGATCCGTGTCCGAACCAGAGATACACTTCGATCGCCGCATACGGGACATTGTCGCAATGTCAGACACCATAACATCACGCGTCGCTAAAAGCCGACGACGGCTAGATGGAGAGAAGACGGGGAGCGATCAAGATAACATCAGTGTACCGTTTTTATGAGGAAGCGGAACAGGACTTCTCCTCACACACACACACACACACACACGACATTCACCGCCCGTTGCGTCTGAGAGAGATAACGAACGTACCACTTCATCTTGTGTGCGAGATTGGAGCTGTCGTCGCGAGGTGAGCACACTTTGTCACACCTGTCAGGGCCGCGTCGGCACAGGAAACATCATCACGGAAAGGGGTCGGACACGACGCATCCTGCATTACAAAGCAACAATACTACCGGGTGCACCCGTACAGAGGGTGATTCTCATCCGGGATGGGTCGCGGCGAGGCTGAATTCGGTAGCAGTCTAGATGAGAAATGGAGACGTTTAACTTCTCCATGAGATTTCTGTTCCTCCGTCCTCTGTTTACGATCATGGGAGGGACATCCGCAGTGACTGCTGCGATGCGTGATGATGATGCTCATGGGTTTAAACGGGTAAATGGTCTCAACTAGCTCGGATGACATCGTAACTGGAATTGTTACGGCTTGTGCCAGTTGTAATCGCTGCACGAGACAGATTTCGTGGACACTTGCAACGATTACATGGATTTGTGCAGATGTATTTGAAAGCAACGCTATTCCTGTGGTAGGTTATGGGTTTAGTCTGTTGCCAAAATGGAAGAACGCTCAGCAGATAATGGTCACAGAAATAGTTCAACTATTGGAACAACAGTGATAAAAAGCATCAGCCATTCTCTATAGAGTTTAACAACGTCACGAACACATTGGTGGTGTGGTTAAGTGCCGATCGAAAATTTATTTTATCGCCTCGTACCGTATCAACAACATTTTTACGGCCATCGCCAGCACTTTGGCGTCACGGCTCATGGACTATCCATGGCCAATCGTAGCGAGGAAGCCTGCAGATCCGTGGGGAGCGGCCTGCGACGAATGATTCACACCACCCGGTCCCGACACAGCGGTACTGGGTGCCGCCCTGCGAACTGAACGGGTGGTCGAGCGTTCGAGGGTGTGGCGATATGTGCAAGGTGAGTCACGAATTCGCCACACTCCTTCCAACCTCTCCCTGGAGATGACGAGATTGAGACAGACCGAGACGCACCTTTCCGCCGCAAACACGACTGCATTTCACATCCTGTCCGGGTTTCTCAACAGGCAGACTTCACGGAGTGTCTGTCTGTCTTCCCGGGTGTCTCAGCCGACCCTTTACGGCATGGTATGACGAATGGCCACCTCCGAAACGAGCCGCGGCTCAGTTTGGAGTCACGAATGTAATGTAGTAACGAGGTAGCGTGACGTAGACGAGGTCCGTGACACCTGACCCTAACCTTCGTGTTGAGATAATGTAAAGGAAAATTTGTGAGGACGCAGAGATGCTGCGTCAAAAATGTTACACGCGAAAGAATAGACGGATAGGAAGGGAAATCGAGAGAAGTGACAAAAAGGAGATAACAGACAGGATGTGGAGGGCTGTCAAATGTGTGAGGAGATACAGGACAGGAAAGGGAGGGGACAACAGAGTGGCGCAAAGAGGATGGAAAGAGGGATGGAGAGAGTATGAGGAGCTGGTGAGAGTGGGAGCGCCAGAATAGGTCTGGACTCTGGCATCACCACAGTCGTGAGCCAAGACCATGAGCTACTGAAATAGAACCTCCTGAAAGCCAGGACGGAAGACACCCGATATATATCCAGGGGCCGCTTCTCAAGGTCGGGCACTGGAGACTCACCTCTGAGTTTAAATTTAGCGGAGATCTATAACTCACACGAGTGTGCCAGCTCTCTCGCCGAGTTTAACAAAGCGCGTCCGCATCTCAGTTCTCACCAAAACAGTTTAACGTAGCTGATCTCAAACGCAGCTTAGGGAAGACCCCTGTCCCAAGAGGTCAAACAAAGGGTTCCATTAGAAGTTTATAATGATGACACGTCAAGGTGTAGTCCAGACAGTTGAAGGGGACTCGCACACGAGGGGTCAAAATTAAAGAGTCATCTCACTCTCTTATCACCCGTCTGACCGCAGCCATTAGCATATTTTACGCTCAGCTGCACGCACAGACCCATCTGGGATCTCTTCGTCAGCGGTTATGGCTTGCAGGCGTGCACTCAAGGACTCGAGGTCGGTCCCTGCAGCACAGTGACGAGCGAAAGATGGACCCTGACGAGCAGCCTACAAACCCCGAACAGAGTCGGATTTTGAGCCGGCTTCCCCGCTGACCGATTTTTTTACCACCTGTTGATTTTCCAACATCTGTTGGCGACTGGCGTGACTGTGAAGTGGGACTGAACAGCAGAACAAGAGGAAAGGCGTGACGATGGAACATATCGCTATTCTGTGGCTAGACGGTGTAAGATCACACACCTGACCGCGACGGTTGCGGCGCGGGAGCGACTAACTGTTCGCGGTGACGGCAGCGATGACTTTGCAGGAAAACAGGCCGACCCAGTCCGTGGAACGACTCGAGACGACGCGACGTCGGGAACAATACAGCCCAGCCGCGAGAAGGGTACTCCGTCGAGGACATGAAAGGCTGAGAACGTGGCGGGCGGAAGACAAGAGCACGGTGTCGAGGAGCGTGACATGAACGCTGGATCCGTCCGTGACGGTGTTTACCCAAAGTCGAGTTAACACGTGAGCAGACAATCAGTGGTGTCACCAGTCACGTCTGACCCCGTTCAGCGGGTCACACATCGCACGCGTCCCACCACACTTCACTCGCTCACACTATCGACTCGCACCCACACACCATCCACCTCACCACAAACGAACGCACTCACTCACGCACACGCGCACGACCTCACCGGTACGCGCGCACAGACAGACAAACACGGTTGTCAGAGACATGCTCGTTGCCTGGTGTTGGTGAGGAGGGCGCGGGGGCGCCCGCAGCGGCGCGTGTCACCCAAACAAACAGCCAGACGGGGTAAACAGTGACACCCGCCCACGCCACGTCTGACTGGGCTGACGGCTCGGCTCTCAGCTGGCCTTGACCGGTCTGCACCAAATCTGCACTCAATCTGCACTTATTTTGTAACCATTCGCCACCCAGTGTGTGATCAATGTGCTCCCTCCAGTCTACGCCCTAACATTATATTTCAATGTGTAGCTCTAAAGAGGAAATTAAAGACAAGCGATATACATCTAATGTTTGTTTAGGGTCTGCAAAGTAAAATAACGTTTTAATATCTATATTCCACCAGCTTGTAACCGAAGCAAAAACGTTCAAAATGCAGTGATTCGAAATGATTGCCAGCAAACTTTTTTCACTGGTTTCAACAAACATTCATCAAACCTGTCATAGTATTTTTGCTCCCCACCTAATTAACAAACCACCAGCCATTCAATTACCCCAGCCGGTCAGTATTTTTAAAACAAGCAAGCACGATGACTGCAAATATTTGCACAGCCAAATGTCAACGTCCACAAGGCAGCGCCACGTCCGAACCCGGACCCACCGACAAACAGGAGGGCCAACAAATCGGTCCGGCGCGTCGTCACCGCACCCAGAGCAGCTAAGTTTCCTGCACAGTTCGCCGCTAACCCAGCCACCCCACAGCCGGCCTAACGGCTCTCCGATTTTTCCCCCAGCGCGCGCCTCGGTCCCGACTGGTGAAAGCGTCGACCGAAGGCCGATCATGGACCGTCAATTGCGCCGCCCGCTCCCGGAGTCCCCGAGACCTCCCGTGGGCAGGCAGTGGGTGGATCGTGCATTACCTTGTTGTTGTGTGCCAGCTGTTTGATGTAGTACAGATCCAGGTCCTGAATGACGTCCAGCTTTGGCGGCGAAATTCGCTCCCCGCGGCGTTCCTTGGCGCTACCACCACCGACCATTGCCGCCGGTGACGGAAAGCACGTGTTCATGACCTCTCACCACAGACCGCACTTGACCGCAGCGTCTGACCTCACTGACCCCGCTTGGCCTCGCTGCTGCACCGCGAGAAACGGACGGTTATTTCACTGTCGCGTGTGATCGGACGGCGGACGGCTCCAGCTCAGAGGGACGGGGGAACACACGGCACCCACCCCACCTCACTCCACCTCTCCCAAAGCACCACGCTGTCTTGTCGCCACCTCGAACGGTGCGCCCCTCACTCGACCACCGCGTAGCGCCGTCTGCGGCTATTTTCAAGCCACGCCGCCGCCGCACAGTAGGCCGGCCGGCCGCCAGGAGCGCTAGAAATGCCGAAAAATGAAACGTGCTCAGGGTGCAAAAAATTAATACCCACAGACTCGAAATTGATCATAGGATACGATGCCGTGCCGTGAATAAGTATGAGACCGATGTCACGGCCAATATTCAGCTCCGAACACAGTCTAACTGACGGTTAGGGAATGAAGCGGCTATCTGAACGATTTCGACTAGATTTTGAATTGCTCTTTTCTCATGAATGAACATCTTATTGGTGAAAATAAACGACTGCACATGATGCACACGGTTATTGTGATCATGTTCATAACCAATTTCATTGGGCTCACTCATCTGATTGCACTCTAAATAGTGAGTTTGCAACATGTTGCAGACATCTACATAAGCTTATATTCAATTAGACTTATATAAAAACGTTATTTTTGGCACCTAATTCTGACGGCATAATAAGATTGGGCAAGTGTTGTACTTTCGAACCGTTGTCGATTTTTTCTGCTTTTCGCTGCTAGTTTAGGAGCTATACTGGCATTTGCTGGGGTATTTTTATACCATCTGGTTGGGAGAGGGGTAGTGAACGTCCTTAGCCTATAACTTGCGAACAAATGGTCGCAGCGAGATGCGCATGGCAGCGATCGAAAGGTCTCAACAAGATGTGTTCGATTAGCATTTAAAACTTGTTTTAACCCGGCATTTGCTGGGGTATTTTCATAACACCACTTGCTGGGGGGGGGGGGGGGGGCCGTCAGACGTCCCCAGCCCATAACTCGAGAACGGTTAGTCGCAGCGGGACAGGCGAGGCGGCAAACGAAAGCTCTAAACAAGACGCATCTGATGAATACTTAAATTTGGTTCTCAGGTCAAACTTGAGGTCAAGGTCAGGTCAAAGGTAAAAAATAGGGGTTTTCATTTTGGGCCCCAGAGACCGAACTACCGACAGCAGCGAGCTCAAAATTTCTTGGCATGTGCCCAAAAGATGTAAGAAAAGTCTCATTGTGTCTAAAGCGAATTGGAGCACAGGTCAAGGTCAAGGTCAGGTCACCAAAGGTCACACAAAGTCGAATTTTCAAAATAACATTTAAATACCGTGTGACACATGTTTTTGGGGTAGTTTTGGACGTAGAACACGATGGTGGCAAGAATTTGGAGATTTGACCCCCGCAAAATGGTGAAAAAGTGAAAAAAGGGGTTAAAAATTCGAAATTTTCAAAATTCAAAATTTTGAATTCAAAACATGCTATCTGATGCAGTTTTATCTCAGGATTCCAAAAATGTCTTTTGTTTTGCTCTACGACCCCTATAAGTACCAAAAATTTGAGTTTGAAAAATGAAATTGGATATTTTGTTACTTTTTGCGCCCTCTATAGCAACCAAATATTGAGTTACGGACTTGAAATTTTGCATGCTGATTCTTCTTTTGATGCCCGAGGACAACTTGTCTCATTTTTTTGAAAAATTCAAATTTTTGAAAAAATCAAATTTTTCTCAAAATTTGGTTTGACATTTTGGACCCCTAAAACTCAATATTTTGAAAATCCGAGATAACCATCTTGTAGAAAATTCAATTTTCTATCGTTTGAGCCCTGAAAATTGCAAATTGCTTCATTTATATATCCTACAATAGGCAGGGGAGGGTCGATGCGAAGCCTTATATTCGCGATGGTGCAAAAACGGGGATGCGCATCGCGCTGAACTTTACAATAGCTTCTACAGGGGCATATTGTGATCGTATTCATAACCGAATTCATTGGGATCACTCACTTGATCCTATATATAGTAAGCTTGCAGCATGTTTCAAAAATATCAGAGGACATATTAAGGATACATTGAATTATATTTTTTTCAAACATGTGATTTCGTGCACCTAATTCTGACGGCATAATAAGATTGCGCTGGTGTTGTAGTTTCCAACCGTAGTCGATTTCTTCTGCTTTTCCCTGCTAGTTTAAGAAATATAGCCTTCAATATGAGGGGTTCTATATCCTACAACAGGCAGGGGAGGGTCGATGCGAAACATTATTTTCGCGACAGTGCAAAAACGGGGTTGCCCAGCGCGCTGAACTTTACAATAGCTTCTACAGGGGCATGTTGTGATCGTATTCATAAACGAATTCATTGGGATCACTCACTTGATCCTATAAAAAGTGAGCTTGCAGCATTTTTCAAAAATATTAGAGAAAATACTAAGGATACATTGAGTTACATTTCTTTCAAACATGTGATTTCGGGCACCTAATTATGACGGCATAGTAAGATTGGGCTAGTGTTGTACTTTCCAACCGTAGTCGATTTTTTCTGCTTTTCCCTGCTAGTTTAAGAAATATAGCCTTCAATATGAGGGTTTCTATATCCTACAACAGGCAGGGGAGGGTCGATGCGAAACCTTATTTTCGCGACAGTGCAAAAACGGGGATGCCCAGCGCTCTGAACTTTACAATACCTTCTACAGGGGCATATTGTGATCGTATTCATAACCGAATTCATTGGGATCACTCACTTGATCCTATATATAGTAAGCTTGCAGCAGGTTTCAAAAATATTAGAGGAAATATTAAAGATGTATTAAATTATACGTTTATAAAAATGTAACTTCGGGCACCTAATTTTGACGGTATAAAAAGATTGGGCTAGTGTTACACTTTCCAACCGTAGTCGATTTTGTATGCTTTTCCCTGCTAGTTTAAGAAATATATCCTTCAATATGAGGGGTTCTATATCCTACAACAGGCAGGGGAGGGTCGATGCGAAGCCTCGACCCTCCGATGCGAAGCCTCGACCCTCAGATAGAGAGAGAGAGAGAGAGAGAGAGAGAGAGAGAGAGAGAGAGAGAGAGAGAGAGAGAGAGAGAGAGAGAGAGAGAGAGAGAGAGAGAGAGAGAGAGAGAGAGAGAGAGAGAGAGAGAGAAAGAGAGAGAGAGAGAGAGAGAAAGAGAGAGAGAGAGAGAGAGAGAGAGAGAGAGAAGAGAGAGAGAGAGAGAGAGAGAGAGAGAGAGAGAGAGAGAGAGAGAGAGAGAGAGAGAGAGAGAGAGAGAGAGAGAGAGAGAGAGAGACAGGGAGACAGGGAGACAGGGAGACAGGGAGACAGAGAGACAGAGAGACAGAGAGACAGAGAGACAGAGAGACAGAGAGACAGAGAGACAGAGAGACAGAGAGACAGAGAGACAGAGAGACAGAGAGACAGAGAGACAGAGAGACAGAGAGACAGAGAGACAGAGAGACAGAGAGACAGAGAGACAGAGAGAGAGAGAGAGAGAGAGAGAGAGAGAGAGAGAGAGAGAGAGAGAGAGAGAGAGAGAGAGAGAGAGAGAGAGAGAGAGAGAGAGAGAGAGAGAGAGAGAGAGAGAGAGAGAGAGAAGATTGTATCCTTGACCAATTCATGTGTCGGTCATTAATGGAGAAACTGTGAGTGCCGGGAAGTGTGTTAAAATCTTACCAGGAATGACGCCTTTTGAACTCCTCAGTAAACTAAGTGCAGTGTATGCAAATTGCAACATGCATGCATGCATGGTATTAGAAGTCTTGAATTTACATCTTATTGGTGTGGTATCTCGCTAAACGTTGTAAATGAAATGTTTTCACAGTCAGTTGAACGATAACTCGAGCGCAAATAATTTCCAGCGCTCCTGGCGGCCGCCCGGCCCACTGTGCGCCGCCGCCGCCGCCCATTCAGCGGGTGGCCAGCGGCGCGGTGACGTCATGTGGAGTAATGACGTCACCAGGGGCGCCGTATTGGACAGTGCTGGTAGCTGGTACTACAGCAGGCAGCAACGGCGGTGGCTGAATGCGACGAATCCGCATGAATATCAAAGTTTATTTTGCCTGCTAGTTGTCAGCAATCGCAAGCACTGGATCTGATGATGCGAGTCTAAATCGTTGGGACCTGAAGACGGAGGCCGCCAAACGAATAAATCATTTTAAAGATGTTAAAATACCAAAATTATCGGCTAGGTGAAAGATATGACAGCTTGTCGTTTTTGGGAGATTGCCAAGAAATTGATAATAAATTAAGGATAAACAGGTCGTAAACAGAACACTTGGTACTCGGCCCCAGCCATGATTTGTGAGTTGATTCTGGAAATAAAGATCCCTTCTTTTCACCGAAATGAGGAAAAATATAGCAATGGCTTAGTGTCCCTTACTTACAGCAAGAGCTCAATATATAAATATTTACCTGAATATTCTACAATGCCAAACAAAAGCTGACCAGCTGCGTCCTGTTAAGCGTATTTCATAAATCGGGCCGGGGGACCAGCAGGCCAAACTAGCCCACCTCACGCACTGCGCGGTTGCCCTGTAAGAAAAACTGCCTTGCATGTCGCTCGGACGGCGCACATAACGCACTCGTCTACCCCCCGCCTCTGTGCGCGTGGCAGGCGGCGGGATCCCGCCGCGCACCGGAGTGGACCCAGCTGGGACTGGAAGAGGCTGACATACGACCCGGCACAGCGGACCAGCGACGGACGACGACTCATCACGACACAGCGTGAGACGGGGAGGTAAACACACGATCCCCGACGCATGGAGTTAGAGGCAAGGTATGAGATGCGTTGACTGAGACGTGAGCCCTGAGACGAGCGCGTGAGTCATGATGAACGTTGGACTCGCAGAATGACACGCAGACGTGGAAACGCAAGGGGGAGACACGCGGAATGTAATTTAGTGCACGGCGTGAAAATCACGGCGTGCTATGGTGTCCGTGAAACACTACAGGATGGGACGGAACGCTGGGAAAGCGTCCAGGATGGCACGGCTGGTGCCGCGCCTCGCCTAGGCGTGCCAAGTCA